CGTTCATCAGCTGGCTGCAGCTCTCAAAGAAGCGCAGATCGAAGTACATGTTCTCAATGTCAACGTTGCGTATCACTCGCCACGCCACATGAATTCAGTCGCCGACATTTATGGGAAGCTACTCCGGAACATTGAGGTTGGAGAGCCCCTAGAGAGCCAGCCATCGTTTGTCTCGAGCGTCACTGGGCAAGATCTCCATTGTCTAGATGAGCTGCGATCCTCCAGCTATTGGCAGCGGAATCTCACTGGGTCAGTAGAATTCTCCGCTGCGCTACAGGGTGTATGCGCACGGCAAGATGCCTCAAGCTATCTCTTCCTCGAGATCGGTCCGCATTCCGTTCTGCGCTCGCCGCTAGGCGATATTCTCAAACAATATGGAAGGGACATTACAATCGATTACAGCTCTGTCTTGCGTCGGGATCGGGCCGCCGACATTACCGCTATGGAATGTGCAGGAAAGCTACACACCATGGGTAGCACTGTCGACATAGCTGCAGTGAATATGGACAGCGGTCACAGCCCCAACTTTCTGCCGTCACTTCCACGTTATCAATTCGAAGATAAGAAGAAGTACTGGCTTGAAGGCAGGACGAGCATTCAGTATCGCCAGACACAATTTGTGCATCATGAGCTTCTTGGCTCGCGCACCCCTGACTGGAACGAACTTGAAGCACGCTGGACGAACCGCATTCTCTTAGATCAATCACCATATCTCAAGGATCATCAAATCAACGGTCTTTGCCTCATGCCTGCGGCGGGCATGCTTGCCATGGCCATTGAAGCTATGCGCCAGTACTATGGTCAACGAGCTGAGAACGCAACAGGCTACAAGCTCGAAGATGTCAAATTTACGAAGGCTATGACGCTCTCGGCTGATCCACGCGGTACCGAAGTACAGCTCACAATCCGACCCGCGATGCTGGAATCCCGTGATATGCAGCCGGGTTCCATGGGGCACCAGTTCTCCCTCTTTGTCTACGAGGACGGTGGATGGCACCTGTGCTGTGCCGGTTCTGTTTCGATTGAGTACGACGAACGCCACGAGAACCTAGGGGAATACAGTGAACATGCAAAAGCGCTGAATGAGAAGAAGCTCGCCTTCCTTTCGGCTTTGGACGGATGCCGCATCGATATTAACAGCGCTGACATCTACGGCGCATTCGATGAGGCCGGCCTCGCCTATGGCCCAACTTTCCGGGGCATGCGCAATGTCAAGTGGGATCGAAATAATCAGGCGGCTGGCACAATTGGACTTCGAGACTGGCAGACGCACGCAAAGTTTGACTACAGTGATGCGCACCTCATTCATCCCGCTGCGCTGGATACCATACTTCAGATGACATTTCCAGCATATTCTATCTACGCCAAGGACTCTTCAGCTACCACCGTACCGACTGGTTTCAGCAACGCTTGGTTTTCTGCAAACTTGCTGCGCGAATCTTCCGATGCGCAAGATGTTAGGGTACATGCAAAGGTCTCAGGACGTGGATTTCGCAACAAGCTCTTCTCCGTCACTGCAGCATTTGCCGATACGCAAGAACTCTGCTTCTACGGCGATCTAGAGACTACGACTATTGGTCGCAGCGACCCATCGATAGAGAAGAAGAACGTGCCGCGCAGCCTATACCGCATCGACTGGAAGCCAGCTAGCTTCGATCGCCCAGTAACTTCGTCTACTTCATCAGCCTCTTCTAAATCCTGCATTCACATCATCTACGATGAAGCGGATTCATCACAGGTGGACTTGATGCAGAATCTTCGCGGAACAATGTCAGCGCAAGACGAGCTTGGTGTTGCCTTGGTAGCATGGAGCTCTGTGCCAGAACATGACCTTGAGAAGGCTACCTGCGTGTTTCTTCCTGGTTTGGACGGCAATTTACTTCGACACATGCAAGAGGACGAACTCGAGAAGATCAAGACCTTGGTATCGAAAGTCAATGCCCTGCTGTGGGTCACGTTCCAGCATCGGGCTCTTGATCAGAGCCCTACCGAAGGCCTGGTTTCAGGACTTGTGCGCACGCTAGCGACGGAATCTGAAGACTATCGGCTCGTAAGCGTCAGCCTCAATTCGGATAACGGACTTGACGTAGCCGCTGCCAATATTACGACGATTACCAAGACACTGTTAGATTCACAACCCGACCCGGAGGACGAGTACTGCGAAATTGACGGCCAGCTCTGCATTCCACGTGTGGTCGACGACCCGGAACTCACTGCTCAAGCACTGCCTACCGAAGATACCTTAGTTACTGTCACCAAACCTTGGAGCGAGCTTGACAGCCCAAAGTTGACCATCGGCGCGGCAGGCATCCTAAGTACACTGCATTACGAGCAGGCTTCCGACAACATTGGAGAGCTTGAGCCGGATGATGTTGTCGTTGAAATCAAGGCTGTTGGACTCAATATGCGGGACGTCTCGGTAGCACTTGGCCAGGTCCATGATGAGACCTTCGGAAGCGAGATCGCTGGAGTCGTGGCACGCACTGGTTCATCACACGATGGGGGCTTCCAGATTGGTGATCGCGTTTTCGGTGTCACACGAGATGGCATTGCGCAAATTGCCCGCTGCAAGTTCTCACAACTGCACAAGATGCCGGACGGTATGAGCTTCTGCGATGCTGCTGTTTATCCAGTGGCATTCTGTACGGCCTACTACAGCTTGAAGCAGTGTGTCGGTATACAGGGTGGCGAGTCCATCTTGGTCCACGAGGCTGCTAGCACGCTCGGCCGAGCGATCATCCAAATCGCCGTTCTCCACGGATATACGAAAGTCTTTGCGACTGTAGGCACACCTGAAGAAGCGGCTTTCCTGGAGAAGAACTTCAACGTTCGGACGTCGAACGTGTTCCTCACTGGCAATCTCGACTTCCAGCATGGTATCCTCCGTTTGACAGGAGGACGAGGTGTTGATGTTGTGATAGGCTCTGAAGAACTCTTGCAAGATTCTTGGCCATGTATCGCTTCGTTCGGACGCTTTGTTGGCGTTGGAGAAAAGGACGTCTTCAACTCGACCGCGAATGGCTCAAACGAGATTGTGGTACCTCCTACAACGAAGAACATTACTTTCGTCAGCGTCAACTTCCAAGACCTAGCACAGAGCCATTTGTTTGCTGGCATCTTCACAGATGTGGTATCGCTGATGGAAGGTGGTAAGATCGCCATGTCTCTACCTCCGACCGTGTTCAGGCAGGCTAGTGTTCAGCAGGCTTTCCAGTCGCTCAAAGATGGAGAGACGCTTGGAAAAGTAGTCATCGAGATGGCTGGCGACGAGATTGTGGAGTTGGAACTTTCGCCAGATTCTGACAAGCCATTATTCTCTTCGGACGCCAGCTATCTTGTCGCTGGCGCATTCGGCGGTATAGGTCAGAGCATCGCTACGTGGATGGTACACAACGGAGCCAAGCATCTAATCTTGCCGTCACGATCAGCAGTCGAGGGTACTGGATCTGAGCGCGATTACTTCATGCAAGGACTGATGGCACAAGGCGCCGCGGTGTATGCTCCAGTATGCGACGTCGCCGACTATGACCAGCTTAAGGAGACCCTTGCATCCTTCCAGGCCCTTCCGCAAATCAAAGGCTGTGTCCAAGCAGCAATGGTGATGCGCGACTCTTCCTTCGCAAAGATGTCGAGCGAGAAGTGGCACGAGTCACTCGCGCCCAAGGTGGACGGCTCCTGGAACCTACACCAGCTTCTACCTGCCGATCTCGACTTCTTCGTCATGTTGTCATCTTCCACCGGTATCATGGGCTCGTTCGGTCAATCAAATTACACCGTTGGCAACACATACCAGGACGAACTAGCGGCCCGTCGTATGCGTCACGGCCAACGTGCTCACACCCTCGCTCTGAGCATGGTCACCGGTGTTGGCTACGTCGCTCAGAACGAGCAAGTACAAGCTTTGCTCCGCGTGCGGGGTATGCTGGAGGAGGTGCCCATGAGTGACATCTACAAGCTGCTACGCTTCTGCTGTGACCCCGAACGCGTCGATGCAAGCACCGTCGGGTCCCAGATCATCACACCCTTGACCCTGCCGGCTGATCTCCGTGCCATGGGTATCGTGGCACCTCTCGGTAGTACGCGGCCGTTGTACCACTATCTCGACACGCTCCCTTCGCGCTTCTCTTCCGACACCGCAACCGCCGAAGCCAAGAATCGCCCTTCGTACAAGCTCTCAGAGGCCACGAACCTCGCTCAAGCCACCGATATCGTTGTCGACGCGATCCAGAACCAGCTTTCCAGTCTCTTGGTTGTCAGCAAGGACGACATCGATCCTCAGAAGGCGATCTATCGGTACGGCGTGGACTCGTTGGTCGGGGTGGAGATGCGGAACTGGTTTTCGAAGGCTATCGGAGCGGACGTTGGGACTGTGGATATCATGAGTGATATTAGTATCTGGCTGTTGGCCGTCAAGGTCGCGGGAAAGAGTAAGTTCGTCAAGGAGGAAGTGAAGGAGTAGACTACCACAGCGAAGATGGGAGTGCAGCTTGACGCAGACCGGGATCTGGTCTCGCGCTGGTCAGTGAAGTGAACTGTGTCATTATATACATACATATATTTCAATGTATTGTCTCGTCAGCTTCTACGTGTCATTGCGAGATCCACCAAAGCATGCTGATGACGCAGGTGTTCGTTACGAACGAACCTTTGAAGTGACGCGACGCGACGCGACATGGCGCGTGCGGGCTTGCTGCTGACTCATCCGCACTAGAGCTCGGCAATCCGGTGATATTCGTTTGAGCACCCAAGATCACCCAAGCAATCGCTCCTCCGACCTCCTGTGGCCATGATATCGGACGGCGAGAAACAGCGAATACCCGAAAAGAATATCTTCCAAAATCGCTTACCACTCCGGCAACTCCTGGGCAGCAATCACCTACATCAGTCACGTATCAGCATCGTCATCACAGCAGTCGTTCCAGGACCATCAGTAAGAGCTAGAAGTATGGGAGTACATGAAATCCAGGCCATTAGATCGTCTTCTTCCCCCTGTCGTCATCTCACTTCTTTACCATCAACCCTTTAATATCCGTTTCCAGATCCTCTTTACAAGTGCAGCTGCTTTCGTCATGATACACATCTTCAGGTCTCGCGACCGGGCATCCGTCCGCCTCGATCTCAAAGGTGATATCTTCAGGAGTAAGACTCAGCACGTTCTCCGTCAGAATCCTCTCCCACCATCCCAGCATCTCCCCCGTAATACGTGCGTCCACCCAGATTCGGGATCCATCCATTGTGGTACGCCAATACCCACGCGCATCAAGGACGATGCGTAAAGTCTTCAGATTAGGGATATTCTGCTGCCAACTCCTTGGTATCTGGTTTGCCGGCTGCCAGAGGAGACCTAAGCCTCCGTAATCATTACGAGAAACTGACTGGAACCGGAATTCCAAGTGGCGGATTTCGCTCCCGACACGTAGCGATGGTCGATGGCCGTAATGTAGCGTATAGTCTGTGACCTGGAAGACGTTGTTATTGTAATATGCGGCTTTTGCAATGGTCGCGAAATCTGTACGGAGTAGGGGAAGGAGGCGTAGCTTCATTAGGGCCCAGTGTTTTGTGTAGGTGATTGGAGTTGGGAAGCTTAGGTGCTGCTCCAGAACCTTTATTCTTAGCTCTGCTGGGAGCTTATGCCAGTATTGGAAGAAGATTGAGTCTTCCGAGTCGGCCTGAACTGGTGGGTTTGCGGAACCCGTGGTTGTAATGACTTGATCGGGCATTGTTGTTGTGGAGTAGAATCGGTGAGGTAAGCTTGGTGAGTTGGGAAAGGAACGATTGATATGCTGATGGATGACATGGTCTATACGGCTACATGGAGGGTGTTTTTACATAGTCGCTGGCCAAGCTGGTCGTAGTGAACCGCATTGTGGGTGGAAGTGAAAGCATTCTCACATCACCTGTTACGTGGGATCTGTACGCGCGCCGCACGATCCTTGCCGCGATATGACTCGCTTCCAGACCACTCGAAGGTGTTTGCGAATAGCAAATGCTCTTGAGATTAACAAACGAATATCCATTCACCCAGGTTCACGATGACTTTCTTGCCTTGAAACCACTCACCACAATCACATGCATGGCGACCGCTACCGCACCCCAGGAGACAGCGTCTTTCCATCCATGGTCAGACTTACCTACTGAACTCCAACTAGAAGTCCTCGGTCACGCCCTTACCTTTCTCGAGCCTATCGATAAGGACACCAGTCACCAAGCGGTGAGCTTGTTAATACCAGTTTTGCGCTGTGGCAACACAGAGCTGGCCTCGCTCGCCCGTGAAAGCTGTACGTGAAACGGGGTTCTAGTCAACTAGGCTCTGCACATCTAGATCAACAACTGACAGAGGCAGACTACAAAAGCAACAGATTCGCCACCCGGGTTCCTTTTTTCTCGCCGTACTTTCCTAAATTCCCGCCACTTGATGCGTGTAACAGGATCCGGAGATTTGAAGTAGCTTTCAATCTCTATACATCGCGACCGAATGACCAAAACCTCGATATGGATACAGCTTGGAGAGTTCTCGTTGCGTCCACTCAGATGACACCAGGTCGAGATGCCACGCGTGAAGGTGCTGTTCTACAAGCAATTCGACGCTCTACCAACTGGCAGACGCGTTTTCCAAATCTCAGAACGCTCTATTTGACTGTCAAGATTCGGACAGATCCCACAGACCTTGTAAGGTACTACTTATCACCTGGAAAATCATCGCCGCCTACCTTCCGGTGCATTCACGACTCCAAAGACGCTGTGCTTGATGCCTTGCAATATTGTGAGCATCGAATGCAGGCTAAAGAGGTCGTAGTACGGGTGTATTGCGAGGGCTGCAGAAACGTCGGACTGTTTCAAACTCAACCGGCTCGGGTCACAGAGCATCAGATATCAGCACCGCCATGCACGTGTGAGCATGAGTTGGAAGAAGGTCTGGCCAAAGTGTTTGGCAGAAACTAGGAATTGTCTTGGGTGGGAGAGACACGATACGTGTACAGACGTTAGTTATGTTGGCGGGAAAGCTGTGACCCGGGGGACGCATTCTGGCGGTACATTCAAGCCCGTGCCACAGCATGACGCATACGGATCGTCTACACAGATACGTTAGCAATGTATGGTCTCCCGTCATTCGAGAGGAGGAATGTGTTACATACCTGATCGCCTAGTGCCAGTTGATGACATCAATGCACGCTTGTACGAAGCCGACTTGCCAACAACATCTCCATCCCATTTACCGGTCGAGCCCAGCCCCTCGATGACACTTTCGAAGTACCTCAGCTGCGGACATAACTCCAGTACCTCCAGAATCCTCTGATCCTGCCAGGGCATGACCGTACCAGATCTAGATTCGATCTGGAGAGAGCGGAGTTGAGGTCCAATGGCTTCACAAACCCTCGTGACTGCTTTGTCAAAGCTACCAATATACACGTTCGACGTGCTTCCAGCAACCAACTTCAGATCTGACAACAGTGGCACAGTTCCCAGGAAACTTTGGAGAGTAGCGTAGTCGATAGAGGACGGGTTCAAACTCAGTGTGTGTAGCTTGGGTACTAGACCAGCGATCTCTCGTAGTAGGTGTTCGGAATTAGTGGATGCCACATCCAAGATGCGCATCTCACTCCAGTCCATGGCGTAGACCAAATCACTACAGTGCTTAGGACTAAGCTCGTAGGCAGGCGCAAGGTCATCAGCTCTGGAGATGACCAGCTCCTCGAGCGTAGGGAACGTATCCGTTTCCTGGAATCGGAAATGAGATCCGCCAACGGCCATAGCCGTGTAGCTGTTGCCTTGACTTCTCGCAGCCATGGTAAAGTGTTGCTGTTTGCTGAGACGCAACCGTAGGACCTTGAGGTTGCGACCTCGCATGAGTAGTGTCTTAAGCTTGAAGAGATCGCTGTTTTCGTCCTGCCGACGTGTTGCTCCCCTATGGAAGCACCGGACTGTAATGTCGAGTGTGTGGAGCTGAGGTGATGACAGGAGAGCTTCATCTAGAGCAAAATCCTTGCGGTTGTGGTTCGTGACTTTCAACTGAGCTGAAGGATGATTGCGGTGCAGCGCCTCGAGAACACGCAAGGGGATAGCGTAGTTGGCGTTCCAGCTGAATGATGCAAGGTCTTGTGTGCATTCTATAATGTGTAGAATCGTCGCGGGGGAGATATGGCTATGGTAGGGATAAGATGGAATGACCAAGTGACGCACTGTTTTCGCCAATCTACCACCGTTCCGTTTTAGACTGCTCACGATGCTTGTGGGGGAACCGGGTCCGCTTTTCTTGGGTCTGCCCGAGGTGATAGTACGAAAAGGCCATCCCAGGCCATTGGTGATGCGTGCAGTCATAGTTGGGCCTCGCTCTTTGCAAGCACCCACGGTGATAGTGCGGAAGATGGTTGGCTCGCATTGATTGCGACATGTATGCGAAACAAGACTGAGCGAGATCTGGTCTGCCAGTAAGAGCTAGACAAATGTTAATGTAAGTCAGAGTGTTTTGCTGGTGAGGCGCACTTGATCAAGAAGAAGGCGATATATGTCTGTCGGTAAATCGGGTAGCTTCATCTTTCGTTTGTGGATTACTGGCGAGTCGTAACGTAGAAAGGCGAGTACGATACGCGATACTTGGTAGCGACGTGCAGAGAAGATGCGCAAATAATCTAAAGTATACATGAACAAACTTATGTGTATGCCTTTCGTCTTTATCATGATAATGCCGCGAGGCTGTGATCGCATCGTATATTGTGGCGCCGTGGCTGGGGTCGCAGGCAGACACGGAGGGGCAAGCTGCGCCACGCTGTGTGCCTGAGTCCCGGACATGTATCAGACGACCACACGCGCCTTGTCGCAGCAACGCAACCGAGAAATCGAGATAGCTATATGGTTCACGAAATAACAGGATTATTTTGCATGATGCGAGCGGGACAGTATTGGATGGTTACCTTTTGTACGGCGGGTGATTGTGCTATTGCAATAGTGTTTCCTGCTCTTCCTTTGAAATACCGAAGAGATATAGTACATCCAGCATGCTTTTGGAGTTGAGACGAGCAGGAGCTTGCATCTGCACCTTTGGCTTCGCGTGGAAGGCGACGCCCAGACCGGCTACGCCCATCATAGGAAGATCGTTGGCGCCGTCGCCAACGCATATGACCTGGTCGAGGAGTATGTTCTCTTTCTCGGCAATTTCTAGGACGTGTTGGCGTTTCTTCTGAGCGTGCACAATCTCACCGGTCAGTTCGCCTGTGAGTGTGGCTCCGTCCTCGGAAACGACCAGGTGGTTAGCAAAGGCGTAATCAAGACCAAGTTGCTGGCCCATCCATCCTGTTAGGGGGGTGAAACCTCCGCTAAGCACTGCTGTCTTGAATCCCAATCGCTTCAGGGCAGTGATGAGATCCTTCACACCCTCATTCAATGTTATCCTTGGCTTCAGCGTCTCGAAAACACTGCTTGGCACGCCCTTGAGCAGTTTGCACCGCGCGCGTAGGCTAGCCTCAAAGTCGAGCTCACCGTTCATGGCAGCAGCGGTGATGGCAGATACCTCCTTCTCCACGCCAATTAGCGAAGCGATCTCGTCAATGACCTCTTGCTGTATGAGGGTGCTGTCCATGTCGAAGACGGCAAGCCTCTTGTAGCGCCGATGTATGGTGTCTGCCTGGAAGACGCACTCGACGTTCCACTCGCGCTCGAAGCGCGACACGGCTTCATGCCTGCGCAGCGTCTCAAGCGCGACGGGCGAGGCGCTTGGCAAGGGGAACGTGACTTCGACTACCCTACAGAGCTTGCTTGCCTCCATCCTTTTGCTCGCTATAGTGTTCTGCTCCAAGCCAGTTATGATGCTGGTGAGGGTGACGAAGAACTCGGTGAGGCAGCTTTGGCTGACGTAGCTTCCGTAGAGATTGTCGCGGGCGTTGGGCCCAGGTGTGGGCGGTTCGAGGGGGTAGTCTGCGAGGTTCTCGGTGGGCACGGCGCCGTCCTTCAGCGACTCGAGGGAAGCGGAGGGAATTGGGTCGCCGGGACTTCGGGGCGACAGATCGGCATGCTGGAAGAAGTTGGGCGTGTCGGCCTTGTAGAAGAGCGTCGCGACGATGTGCGTGGCCGACACGTCGAGGGCGGGAGGCTTGGCCGCCATGATGGGATGGATCGGGAATAGCTTGGTCGCGATGCTTTCGGACCTTTAGTACCCAGGTGGTCCAGAGGAGACGACGTGGATGAGGAGCAGCGAATGTATGACTTGTTTGCAAGGCGGGGATGCATGGGACTGGAAATTTCGGCAGGGGTTCAGGCACAGCAGCGCTAGCCTAACAACCCCACCAGCTCGTGTGTGGACACTCAGGACGTCGCCCATGTCATCTTACGACCACCATGTCTGACGGCTGATCGACCTCGCATTCGCGTGTGCACTTCTCGGTCGTACTTCTCCCCTTAGTTGCAGACTACGCATAATGCAACAAGCTCAACACTGGGGCAGCCTATCATGGCCGCGGGCTCCCACTTGACTAGGTGGATGGGCGACCTTACCTAGGTACTCTCGCGAGCCGAGGCTGCTCTCTTTAGTGCGCCAGGTGAGAGCGCCTGCACCTCCACGGGCGTACATGCGGGTACCTCACGATATAAGAGCCATACCCAGCCTCACCCTCATAGTACCCCATAGTCCTTGTTCAATCATCCTCACACTGCGAGAATCACTGCAATGGACGACTACAAACCACAGAAACCGAATGTCCTCCAGTCTCCGCCCATCGACATCACC